CCCCGGGGGACACGTGTCACCCCCGAAACCGCGTGAGAAAAAAACAGTTGTGTACCTTTGGCATTCTGGGTGCCAACATAAGGCCATTCAGCCTCACAACAAAAACGGCTGACACGCGTCTCCCCCGAAACCGAGTGGGAAAAACAAACTGTAAATTTGGGAATCTGGGAACCATCATGAGGCCATTCGACCTAAAAAGGTCAACGGGTAACGCGTGTCATCCCCGAAACCGCGTGTGAAAAGCATTTCTACAAGTTGGGGTTCTGGGAACCAACATGAGGCCATACAGCCGCGCCCAAAAACGGGTGACACGTGTCACCCCTGAAACCGTGTGAGAAACAACTAACCATAAATTTGGGACTCTGGGAGCAAATCAGCCATTCAGCCTCACACAAACAACAAGTGTCACGTGTCGACATCGAAAACGTGTAAGAAAAACACATGTAAATTCAGGATTCAGGGAGTTGCCATAAGGCCATCTAGATTCACAAAAACAGCAGGTGACACGTGTCACCCCTGAAACCGCGTGAGACAAATCAACTGTAAGTCTGAGATTCTGGGAGCCAACATAAGGGCATTCAGCCTCACAAAAACAGTGGGCGACACGCGCCACCTCTGAAACCACGTGAGGAAAAAAATGTGACTTTGGGATTCTGGGTGCCAGCATGAGGCCATTCAGCCTCACAAAAACAACGGGTGACACGTGTCACCCCCGAAACCGCGTGGGAAAAAAAAACAGCTGCAACTTTGGGGTTCTAGGAGCCAACATGAGGCCTTTGAACCTCGCAAAATCAACAGACGACACTTGTCGACACCAAAACCGTGTGGGGAACAATCGTACATACCACGGGCCAACATAAGCCCATTCAACCGTGCAACAACGAGCGCCAAGCGCAACCCCCGAAATCGAGTGAGAACAACCAAATGTAAATTCGGGATTCTGGAAACCAACATAAGGACATCCAGCCTTGCAAAAAACAGCGGGTGACACGACACGGGTCACCTCTGAAACTGCATGGGAAAACAATTGGCAAATTTGGGATTCTGGGAGCCAACATACGGCCATTCAAACTCGCAGAAACAACAGGCGACACGAGTCACCCCCGAAATGCAAAAAAACAATTCTAAAATTTGGATTGTAGGCCATTCGCCCTCAACAAAAACAGCAGGTTACACGTCTCACCCCCGAAACCGTCTCAGGAAAACCAATTGCAATCTTTTGGGATTCTGGGGGCCAACAAGAGGCCATTCAGCCTCACAAAAACAGCGGGTGGCACGTGCCACCCCCGAAACCGCGTGAGAAAACACAATTGTAACTTCGGCCATTCAGCCTCACAAAAAAACAACAGGTCACACGTGTCGACCCTGAAACCACATGAGTAAAACCAATTGTACGTTTGGATGTCTGGGAGCCAACATGAGGCCACTCAGCTTCACAGAAAAAACAACGGGTGACCCGTGTCACCCCCGAAACCGTGAGAGAAAAACCAATTGTAAATTTGAGATTCTGGAGCCAACTTAAGGCCATTCATTCAGCCTCACAACAATAACCGGTGACACGTGTCACCCCCATAAGGTCATTCAGCCTCGCATCGCGCGCGAGAGCTGAACGCCACCGCGCGCACGCGCGCGCAGTCGCGTGCGTACGTACGTACAGAGCCCCAGAAAAACAAAAACTACCTACTCGTGAACCGGGGTAGCCTACACATCTGCACGCATCCAGTTCATGCGCATATCCCAATACATGCGCGTGGGTGCGTGCGTGTGTATACGCATATATGCACACAAGCATACATGCGTGCAATCATCAATCGAATCGTTCGGCCCCCGCGCAATATTTTGCAGGGGGGACAATGAAAACATATAGTTATTCGGCGGCAAATTAATGGCGGTCGGGATCGGGGGGAAGGGGGGAGGGGGGGGTCATCATTTTGAAGCAAGTGTTGGACATTAGCAGTAATACTAATAGCCCTCCTCCTCCTCCTCTCCTCCTCCTCCTCCTCCTCCTCCTCCACCGCCACCTCCTTCAACTCCTCTTCCTTTCCTCTCCCTCCTCCTCCTCCTCCTCTTCCTCCACCTCCTCCTGCTCCTCCTCCTCCTCTCCTCCTCTCCTCCTCTCCTCCTCTCCTCCTCCAGGTGCTGGATGCGTGATCGCTTCCCCGGCAGGGGGGGGGGCCTTAGTTGCTTCCTAGGGTTGGGCTTCCAACGCTCCGCAGAGATTGCTTGGATCGGCGGTCGACCCCCCTCCCCGGCGCGCGGCAAGCGCCAGCGGGGCGGCGCCGCGCGGAGCGCTCCGACAATTCGTGCCTACAGGGCAATCTTTCAATACATCGGATTGTTTGAAAATATGGGGATTCTTAATACATGATTCATTTAGGAATGACTTTCCGCATGAACTCATCGTCGTTTTTGATGCTGAATCCCTGCATTTTCAATACATGATCCGCACGCGGAGCATGTATCAAAACCGGCGCCGTATGCAGTTTATCATTCCTCGATCCTCCTCGCCGCTGAACCTCTGGGGCAGGAAGAAGCTGAGCAGGTAGGGGGACGTCGGCCTCGACGCCACGGTGCCGCCGACGTTGAAGACGCCTCGGCCGCCGCTGAACGCGAAGCACAGGCTGGCGTCCACCGTCGCCCCTGCGAGCACAGCGGGGCTCGCGTCGGGGACACAGGAGTCCCTCATGGGCTCGGGCCTCTCCTCCATGCGGAACGCCACCGCAGCGTACTGCGCGTCTCTTGCTGGGCTGGGCCGCGCCAGCAACTTCGGCCTCTCGCCGCAGAGCCGCTCAACAACGCCCACGACCTCCTTGAAGGGGAGGGCCCCCATGGGCACTGACCTTGGCGACTGCGCTGCCTTGTTGGGCGCCGGGCTCCGGCAAGCTAAGATCCGTGGAGGGATAGGGGGGGGGGTTGGCCTGGGGAGGCCCGAGCGGAGACCTGGACTTCAAGCACGTGGGAGCCCGCACTTTCGGCTCAGCATTGATTCGAAAGGCGGCGGAGGGAGGGGTTGAGAGAAGAGCTGGGGTAGGCAAGGTGCCATGCAACTAAACTTGCAATCTTTCTCCCTGAAGTGAAGAAACGTACGCTTTCTAGCGGTGCCGCCACCTGATCCTGGACGCCTCCAGATGTCTCGGTGGACGTGCCCGGAGGCCTCCGGACCACGCTGGTGGCGTCGAGAGGCCCGGCAAGGGCTGGAACTTCCATCGTAGAAATACATGGGGGAAAGAGGAGAAGGGAATGACCGTAGCTGGCGAGCGCGGTCGGGCAAAAGCCGAGCTGCAGCGCCACAGGAGAGCACGACGAGGCGGACAGAAGTTGACCGAGGAATCCTCGCCTGTCTCCAGGAGGAGGAGACAAAACGGCTACGGACCCTCCTCCTCGGGAGGGGCGTCCAGGGCCAGTTTGGCTCCAGGCTTGTTGCCCAGGCGGCCGACCCACGGGTGGCGCCGAGCGCGGCATGGCTGTCGCGCCCGCGTCCTGGGCGGCACGGCGGCGGGGGAGCGGCGGGGCCCCCCAAGGTCCCAGGCCCCCGCCGCCGCCAGAGCTTCCAGTCGGCAGAACCGCCCGTACATCAACACGGCTAGACAAGCGCGTTCCAACGACTCTCAAAGTAACTGCTCGCAAATGGCCTGGCTCCGCTGGGGAGGACTTGCGACCCATTACGTCGAGGCGAATCATTGTTTTGTTCCAGACCTTTGCGAGTAGGCACTTCGCGAGCCGTGCAACGCGCCCGGTGAACGGTGGCGCCGGAGGAGAAACTCCAGGTGGCGAAAGGCCAGCACGTGAACCTCATGGCTGCCCACTGGCGTCTCAAGATGAGCAATGCCTCTGGGTATACTCCTGGAGACACCGAGAACGCATAATCTCTCATGGGGTCAAAGAGTCCTTTGGGATGGGGACCATGCACGGCCAAGACGGCCCCAATATCCCGGACGGGCGCCCAAGAGCCCAGCAGGGCCCCACAGACGCCCTCCCCCAAGACAGACTCCTAACTCGGAAGCGGCCAGGGGGTCTGCGATGGATGAGCCCTGAGAACATATGACAAGAGGGGCACGACAGCAAATCCGCTCAACATCTGTCCTAGGACACCTTCAAGCCGCTTCCATCATTGGCGACGAGGGGGCCTCCTTCTTCCCAGGTTCTGCTGGCCAAGACCAGTGCTGAGATACCTTAGCTCCCCAGCCAGCTCCAACTCCCAACAGGCCGCTCAGGCGCACCCCAGAGGCCTGTAATAGGCACCCAGCAGGCCTGGCCGGCATGCGCGACGCGCCACGACGAATTCCAGCGCCGCGCGCAACCATCCAGCATACCACGGAGCGGTCGGCGATGTGCCGCCGACGTCCTCCGCCCGACCGGCCTCGAGCTTATCCCTGCCATTGAGGTTGACGATCCACAGGCGATGCCGATCTTAGGGATGTCTGAGGGCTCCCAAATGGGGTCCGAGTAGATGGGGTCGGAGGATCGCGCCGCATCGCCAGTGCGTGCTCGCTGCATCGTTGTCGTGGTCAATGCAGCGGCGACGTCGGCGCGGAGAACATCGGGCTTCACATGGAGCTGCACCGCCGATGCATCGGCGGTATAGGGATCTGTTCGACGGGTGGTACCTAGAGGGAGAAAGAACTGCTTAAACATACACTTTCGGAGGTCGCAGGTGGGTCGCGGGCCGGGTCGGGTACCACAAACGCAATGCAGCGCAGCGCAAGGCCACAACAATCCGCCCCACGGAGCCCCACTTCAGCCACGCACCCAGGGACAGTGAATGACCGCTCGGCCCCCTCACTCTGATAAAACAACGTTCGACGGAGCCACCTTCGAAGCCTCCTGCTGCTCCTCCTCCTCCTCCCCCTCCTCCTCCGACTTCTCCTTCTCCTCCTCCTCCTCCTCCTCCTCCTCCTGCTCTGGTTTCTCTTTCTCCGTCCTCCTGTGCCTGATGAGGCCTGCGTGCCAGGTGCAGATGGTCTAGGTGACAGCCAGAGCGGGTCAGACTCCGACCGCGCGAGCTCCCATCGATCAACGGACCCATGGAATTGGCGGCCTGATCTAGCCCTGATCGACGGATTCGAATCCTCTCAGGCTGCGACCCCTTGCCTTTGTTGGCCAACCGCACCACCAGAGCGCTCTGCCAGACACGGGCGCCCCGCACGGGCAAGGCATTCACCGCGTCCAGCATGGCATTGCGAGATTCATGCCAGGGTAATGCGTCCGATCTCTCCTGCGAGTCGTCCTCCACGCCACCCCAGCCGATGTCCGACTCGTCGTCTCCCTCGAGGTCTTCGCCCTCCTGTGGGGGAGACAACAACAACATGCCGATGCCGCTGCTCCCCGGACCTCTCCGCGGGTGCGCTCTGGCCAGGGCTTCGTGGCGAATCCCGTCGTGGCGGCGGGGGAGCCGCCCAGGAGGCCCAAGGGGGAATGGCTCTGTCGGTTCGAACCGATTCGATGTCGATTAGTTCGATTCGATTCGACTCCGAATTCCTACTTCGGTTTGGGTCTCCGTGTGCAGGGGTCGGCTCAAACCGCGGGCCATCGATCCCGATGCTCCCGAACTGCCTGCCGATTTCTGCCCACTCGGCGTATTTCGATTGCCGATTCGATGTTCCGACTCGATCTTGGGCCATCCTGGGGAAGGGCAGCGGCGTCGGCATCTCTGCCTCCTCGGATTCCTCGTGTTCGCCCACCTCCTCCTGCGTCCTGGGTGCGCTCTGGCCATGGGCTCCGAGGCGAGTCCGGCCGCTGCGGCGGGGAGGGCCCCCGGGAGGCGAGGCCCCATGGATAGACGAGCGCGCTCCACTACTCGCAAAGTAGCTACTCGCAAATGGCCTGGATCCGCCGCGGGGGATCTGCTACAAATTACATCGAAGCAGACATGTTGCGTTTTCGGCCGCTTGCGAGTAGGCACTTTGCGAGTAGTGGAACGCGCTCGGTGAGCGAGGGACGGGCAGCGGAGCCGGTGATTTTTTAGGAGGCGTCCAGGAGGGGGGCGTCACACAGAGGGGTCTTCGCACACCGTGGCCCGAGGCGCGTGCGCGGCCCCAGGGGGGGCCGGGAGGCACATCGACAGGAGAGGGAGCGGAGGGGGCCAGTGAGATCCGTGGCCCCCGCCGTGGGGGAGGTCCTGTTCGGCGGGACGGGGGAGAATTGGGCCCCATTGGTGGGGCTGCTACGCCGGATTAGGCCGCGGATTCAGCGGGAGTAAAGCCGTACGAAGCCGGATTAAGCCGGATTAGGAGGGATGAAGCCGGAGTCAGCCATAGTTCGGATCAGGTCAAAATCAGAATTCGACATCCTGGGAGTTGCACCCGAACCCCCTAGCCATCACCCCCCTCTTGGCCGCCCAGGACGTTTCCTCCTCGGACTCCTCGTGCTCGCCCTCGTCCGCCTGCGTCTCGCCGTCCTCGCTTGCCTCCTCGCCCGCGGCGCCTCCCTCGGCGCTGACTTCGGCTCGCTCGTCCTCCCAGGAATCGACCTAAACGGTGTTGTTTGTTTTCGTGATGTTGTTGTTGCTATTGTTGTTGCTGCTGTTGCTGTTGTTGTTGTTGTTGTTGTTGCTGTTGTTGTTGTTGTTGTTGTTGTTGTTGTTTGATATTGTTGATGTTGTTGGTGTTGTTGGTGTCGTTGATGTTGTTGATGCTGTTGTTGTTGTGTTGCCTCGTCTTGCCTTCAATTTGTATTTGCTGCAAAACGAAGCCGAAACGAAAACGGCCCACCAAATCGCCAAAACACCGTTCAGGTCGACCCCTGCTCCTGAGCACGGGGGAGAGGAATTTGCCACACGGACCGACCGTCCAGGCATTCCTATAGGTCGACCACGACATGCTCCCAAAGCCATAGACTGTGCGAACCACAAGAACACGGTTTGGAACGTGAAGCCGACGCATTCAAAAAACGAGACGGTCTCAGCCAGACATGTTCGATGGCAACGCGCAGAAAAAGTGGTTCGAATATTCATTGGAGGGCCCACAGGCAAGCCATGAAGCTCGCCACTGCTTGACAAGCAAAGTTGAGCCGATTGTAGTTCTATTTGCGGTAACGCGTCGCTATCGCGAATAAGATCCAACAACCTGGTCACTGGCGTTGTGAACGCCACGGGCCAACCCCGCCGTCCCGCCCCTCCCCCCTGGTCACGTCACGATTCGCGCCTGCGCCGTGTGGGTACTAGCCAGTCCTGAGCATTCCCAGACGGCGCTGGCGCGAACCGTGACGTGAACGGCCCCCTCCCCCCCCCGCCCCCCCCTGGTCACGCCCGTTATCGCCATGGGATGTAGCAACGGCCTCGTGGACCCTGAGCAGGGGTTACCGTTGGTGCGCGGCTCGAGGATCAGCCCGAATCCAAAGCGCGTAGGCCAGCACTGGAGGGGGGCATCACTCTCGCCGAGGTCACTCCGTCGAAGGCTCACTCCCTGCGCGTAGCCGACAGGAAGCCCTGAAGGAAGCTGGTCCTGGATGCTCCGAGATCTGCCCTCCCCCAAGCGCTTCGTGCATCGGCTGCTGGCGGCCCCTTGCTGGGAGGCCGAAAAGAAGGAACCACCGCAGGACACCTCTGCGTCGGGGCCCATCCAGCCTCATACCATACCGATCTGGAGCGACAGCGTTTTCTGCACGGCGATCCTGGAAATCGCCCCCCCGACCTCACCTGGAGTGCGTTCTGCCCAGAACGACGACGAGGGAACCCAGCCGTGCCGACGAGGAGCCCAATGGAGACGCCCCAACTGCCAGGATCCTCGTCGCCAAATGCAGCACCATGGAAATCACGACCCGAAACCTACCTAGACCCAATCTTTCCGTGCCACGTCTCGCGCCGCATCGATCTGTGAATGCCCCGTGGTCCGAAACCAAAGTTTAACGCTCGGCGCTCAAAAAAGTACGACGCACGGGTCTCGGGAGACCTCGACCGTCCCTCACGACATCCTTCTCTCGGTGCCCCCCCTTTCATGGCGATCCTCGCCCTCGCCTCCGCCGCCCGCCTTAGGGGGACGCCATCTGTGCACCCACACGGACACTGCCGAGGCCCATGCCCCACCCCAGACCCCCGACGCCATGATTTTCATGGCGTCGACCCGCAGGAGGTCTCGACCCCTTCCCTGGGACGGCTTTTCAGCAAGAGTCGCTTGTTGACGGCCCCGAGACCCGCGAGGGGCCCCCGGAGACCTAGAACAGCAACAACCAATCGTCGTGAAAACATGGCTAGGATCGGGATAAATCGCTCCAGAGCGTTCTGGAGCGCTCTCAGAGCGTTCCAGAACGCTCTGGAGCGGCCGCGGCGCCCAGTACGTACATCCTCCAAACCCGCCGATTCTCAAAGATTTCGAGTTATCCCGATCCGATGTTGTCCGGATCTTCGCGTCGTTTCAGTCGTGATGCTTTCTTGACCCCGGCTTGGCCCCGGAGGGCGCGGTGCACCGATCCCCCCGCAGGCTGGGGCCCGGCCCGGCGTGTACAGTGTGCACGCTTTTGGCGTCCATGTGGCGCCTGCCGGGCGGCTGGCGGCTCACTCCGCGGCGGGCCCTTGAGCTTCGGGGGGCCGCGGAGCTGGTCCATGAACCTGCGACGCAGGGAGACGCCCAGATACGACGTCCCCCCCCCAGGAGGCGCACGTCCGATACGAGCATACAGTACGTAGCGCCCCGCAGATGCGGGTAAGAGTCTGAGTGAGGGGGGGGTGGGGACGTCGGTGGTTTGCGAGACTCTGCTGAAGCCCGCCGCAGGCGCCAAAGTTCCACAAATTATATAATGAGCCCGCCGCAGGCGCCGTTTTTTCGTTAAACAAAGGTGGGTCGGTCGCGGGTGGGTCGCAAATTTGTCGCGGGTGGGCAGCTGTTGGGTCCCGGGTGTCGAGGGAAGAAGATCAGCGCCAAAATAATCACCCCGACAAGAGAAGCCGTTTAGTAAACGCACACAAGGAATGATTCGAACAGGGCAGGGCTTTCGACGCCCAGGGCCGTTTAGTAAACGTCAATTGCCGGGTCCGGGTGCATTTTCCTCCCTTGAGGGTGGGTCGCGGAGTGGGTCGCGGGTGGGTCGCGGGGTGGGTCGCGGGTGGGTCGCGGATGGGTCGCGGATGGGTCGCGGGTGGGTCGCAGATGGGTCGCGGGTTGGGTCGCGGGTGGGTCGCGGGTGGGTCGCGGGTGGGTCGCGGGTGGGTCGCGGGTGGGTCGCGGGTGGGTCGCGGGTGGGTCGCGGGGTGGGTCGCGGGTGGGTCGCGGGCGGGACGACGACAACAAACAACAAACAACAAACAACAAACAACAAACAGCACCAAACAGCAACAAACAGCAACACACAACAACAAACAACAACAACAAACAACAACACCACCAAACAACAACAACAACAACAACAACAACAACAACAACAACAACAACAACAATTACTAGCACGTGGGGACACTCCGTTCTCACCAGTGCCAGGGTTTTCATAGGAGGCGGGCAATACCCCCACTTTGTGGGGGGGCCGGTTCAAGCTCTACCAAATTTCCAAACGACTCTTCGCCACCACCCACACCCAGCTTCCCGCCCTATGACGTTCGGACACTTCACTTCGTGGCATGCGGACGACCGTGGCTACTATTCAGGGCCCCGCGGCCGACGACGACGGCGTGCGCGCGCGAAGAAAAAACGAATGTGTCCCGCATGGTATTATTTGACAGGGATGATGGCCCTGGCAGGTGCGCAACCGTTGTTGCAGAAGTTCGAAAAAGTTGCTCGCAAAAGCCCGTTTGACAGAAATGTTTAAAAAGTGTTGGGTTTCCTACGAATCCGCAAGAGCGCGCGGCATGAAAGTTTGACATTTTTTTTGTTTTAACCATTGTTTTTTTGATGTTTTTATGTTAAAATCGCTACGAAAACTAAGGTTTTGGAAGGATTTCGTCTTGCGCGCGCGAATGTCCACTTTACCTTATTTTTTGCAAGGGATTCTTGAACTTTGGTTATGTTAGAAGAAGAAATGTCATTTTATATTGTTTTTGCAAGGGAAAGCGGGGGGAACAAAACAACCAGATCTGGATCACATCGTTTTGCCTGAGACTTCCTCACGAAAATGATGAAAATGTGGCTGCGGCCTAGGCGCGGCGAGGGGGCCGTGCACCAGGGGTCCCAACAATAATTATTCTTTAGAAGTAATAATGTTCAACAACAACAACAAGGAAAAGGCGCGCGTGAGCCCCGTGAGCTCTAGCCGTCCGGACCCGCTCTCGCCTTATTGTGAAGGCTGCGCTCAGAGCCCCGTGGACGCATTCTGACCCCCCCCCAGCAACAGCAACAGCAACCAGCAACCAACAAAAAACAAAAAATCTCGAAACTCCCTTGGACTCCCTTACGGACATTGACGTGGTTCTATGGGTGAAAAACGTATGCGCGCCGGCGTGCCGCCGCTTCAATACAGATCCGGTACAGACTGTATGGGATCCCGTAGAGATCCGATACTGACTGTATGGGATCCTGTAGAGATCCGATACAGACTGTATAAGATCCTGTACAGATCCGATAAGACGGTATGGGATCCTGTAGAGATCCGATACCGACTGTATGGAATCCTGTAGAGACCCGATACAGACTGTATTCTGTGGAGATCCGATACAGACTGTATGGGATCCTGCAGAGATCCGGTACAGACTGCATAGGATCCTATGCAGATCCGATGCAGACTGCATGGGATCCTGTAGAGATCCGATACAGGCTGTATAGGATCCTATACATATCCGATACAGACTGTATGGGATCCTGTAGAGATCCGATACTGACTGTATGGGATCCTGTAGAGATCCGATACAGACTGTATAGGATCCCGTACATATCCGATAACACTGTATGGGGTCCTGTAGATATCCGATGCAGACTGTATGGAATCCTGTACAGATCCGATACAGACTGTATAGGATCCTGTGGAGATCCGATACACGCTGTATGGGATCCTGCAGAGATCCGATACAGACTGCATCGGATCCTATGCAGATCCGATACAGACTGCATGGGATCCTGTAGAGATCCGATACAGACTGTATGGGATCCTGTGGAGATCCGATACACGCTGTATGGGATCCTGCAGAGATCCGATACAGACTGCATAGGATCCTATGCAGATCCGATACAGATTGCATGGGATCCTGTAGAGATCCGATACAGGCTGTATAGGATCCGATCAAGACTGTATGGGATCCTGTAGAGATCCGATACTGACTGTATACGATCCTATAAAGATCCGATACGGACTGTATGGGATCCTATACAGATCCGATACAGACGGTATGTGATCCTACACAGCTCCGATACTGACTGTATGGGATCCTGTGCAGATCCGATACAGACTGTATGTGATCCTATACAGATCCGATACCGACTGTATAGGAATCCTGAACCTTCGGGTGGCTCAGGAACCAGCGAGAATCCGCAGGGACCCTGAGGAAGGGGGGGGGGGCAAGAAGATTCCTGTGGAATCCAAAGGCCCGCACGGACCCCTGGGGTGGCTCAGGAACCCTTTTGGGATCCAAGGGAACCGCGCGGAACCCTCCGGTGTCCCAAGAATCATCAGGGACACAAACGAACCCTGGTGTTTCAAGAACCCCCTAGAATCAGACGGAACCGCGCGGAATCCTGGGTGGCTCAGGAACCCTCTGGAATCCAAAGGAACCGTGCGGAACCCTCGGGGGAGGGGCTCAGGAATCCTCTGAAATCCCCATGGACACTGGGGGGCTCAGGAACCCTTTGGAACCAGCAGGAATCCTAAAGAACCCAGGGGCGGCTCGGGAACCCTCTGGAATCCAAAGGAACCGTGCGGAACTCTGGGTGGGGGGCTCAGAATCCTCAGGAATCCCAAAGAAACCTGGGGGGCTCAGGACCCCCCTGGAATCCGAAGGCCGCAGCGAACGCACCCATTTCGGCACACCCCTCACGAGGATATTGCCCCCCCCCCCCCCTCTATCGGTGAACCCCGCCAAAGGCCACAGCGGCTGCGCCCATTTCGGCACACCCCTCACGTGGATCGTGGCCCCCAATCGGGTACCTCCGCCGAGGGCCACAGCGGCTGCGCCCATTTCGGCACACCCTTTCGGCCCCCCATCGGGGAGCTCCGCCGAAGGCCCCAGCGGCCGCGGCCATTTCGGCACACCCCTCACGTGGATCGCGGCCCGCCATCGGGGAGCTCCGCCGAAGGCCCCAGCGGCTGCGCGAATTTCGGCACACTCTTCACGTGGATCGTGGCGTCCCATCGGGGAGCTCCGCCGATGATCGTGCCCCCCATCAGGGAGCTCCGCCGGAGACCCCAGCGGCTGCGCCCATGTCGGCACACCCCTCACAAGGATCGTGGCCTGCCGTCGGGGAACCCCGCCGAAGGCCACAGCGGCTGCGCCCATTTCGGCACACCCTTCACGAGGATCGTGGCCCCCAATTTGGTGCCTCCGCCGAAAACTTAAGCGGCTGCGCCCATGTCCGTACACCCCTCACGTGGATCGTGGCCCGCCATCGGGGAGCTCCGCCGAAGGCCCCAGCGGCTGCGCCCATTTCGGCACACTCCTCACGTGGATTGTGGCCCCCCTTCGGAGAGCCCCGCCGAAGGCCCCAGCGACTGCGCCCATTTCGGCACACCCCTCACGTGGATCGTGGCCCCCAATTTGGCACCTCCGCCGAAAACTTAAGCGGCTGCGCCCATTTCGGCACACCCCTCACGAGGATCGTGGCCCCCCTCGGGGAGCTCCGCCGAAGGCCCCAGCGGCTGCGCCAATTTCGGAATTCCAATGGAGGCCTATAGAATTCCGATGGAGGCCTATAGAATTCAGATAGAGGCCCATAGAATTCCCATGGAGGTGTATAGAATTCCTATGGAGGCCCATATAGAAGTCGTATGGGGGGCTGTGGAATTCCGATAGAGGCTCATAGAATTCCAATGGATGCGTATAGAATTCCGATGGGGGCCTATAGAGTTCGTAAGGAGGCCCATAGAATTCCCATGGAGCCCATAGAGTTCCGATGGAGGCCTATAGAATTCCGATGGAGGCCTATATAGAATTCGTATGGAGGGCTATAGAATTCCGATGGAGGCCTAGATAGAATTCCCAAGGAGGCTTATAACATTATTATGAGGGGCCTACAGAATTCCTATGGACGCCTATGGAATGTGTATGGGTGCCGATCGAATTCCTATGGAGGCCTATAGAACTCCTATGGAGGCCTATGGAATTCGTATGGAGGCAAATAAACTTCCTATGGGGACCTATATAGAATTCCTCTGGATGCCTATAGAACTCCTATGGAGGCCTGTAGACTTCCGATGGGATCGGCAAGACGACGTTGAGATTTCGAGGGGCCCGAAAACAGCCCTCCCCCCACACAAGCGTCGGACACTACGAAATCTCTCGACGTGGCCAACTCCAGAAGCCTCGAGCCCAAATAGCTGGCCATCTCTCAGGGGTGCATATCTTTGTTCCACTGCCTTCCTCTGGCCTTCCGCCAGCGGATCCGCCGCCAATTTGCTCCCGCCGCCCGCAGAAGAGGAGATGCCAACTCCTTCGACCCCTCGAAGTCGAGGCCCCTCGACTCCTTCGACCCCGCACTGTCCGAGACCCCCGACGTCATGATGCTATTCATGACATGGTCCCCTACAGAGGTCTGGACCCCTCCACGAGGACCAACTCTTCATCCCGGGCCGTTTTTGACGGTTCCGGTTCCCAGGAAGGGCGCCCCGAGCCCAAACATGGCGAACAACCTCCCGTCATGATTCTTGTTACGACGCAAGGGTGCCTAGGCTTATTTGTCAGTGTTTCGTGGGAACCGCGCATGTGTTGTCGAGGGTCTGGGTGCTATCGGCCCCCCACCCCATCGCGATGGGCCCACCCCTCTGTGGGCGTGGTGTGGTGGGGGCTTCCCCTGTTGGCGTGCGGTGGTGGGCATGGGGTATGGCCCCCCTTCCCCACATGGGTGTGGGGTGGTTGGTGGTGTTTGGGTGTGGCGTGGTGTTGCGGTGCTTCAGGGAGCCCGAGCCGACGGTGTCTTCGTCGTCGTCGTCTTCGTCGTCGTAGTCGCCGTCGTCGTCGTAGTCGTCGTCGTCGTCGTCGTCGTCGTCGTCGTCGCCGTCGTCGTCGTCCCCCCCTCCCCTCGCATCTGGGGGGCGGGGCCGAGGGACCCTGAGACCCATCCCATCTGGAGGGGGGCGTGGGCCCCGAACCCTGGATCATATATATATATATATATATATAATACACACACTATGGAGTAGATGGGCTCTGCCCCATGGGGCTTCGCAGACACGGCACATGACGACGCATAGTGCAGAAGAGCGTCTGGTCTGTCCTCCGGGCGGCAGGGGTTGAAACGGAGCATGCACGCTGTGCTCGGCTTGACGCAGTGGACGTGTTTCTGGCCCGGCATGGTCGATGTGCGCATCGCTCGTGCCACGGCGAGCCGAGCCCACCCGAGGATGCGGCGCAAGAGTCGGCTACACGCAAGAGTGACCCTGGGTAAGAGTGACCTTTGATGCGCGGCTTTTTGGGGGCCGCGGGGGGACCAAACCTGGGCGCGCAAGCCGCTGCTCCTGCTTCGTTCTCAGCCATCTGGGGGCCCATCTGTGCCCGCACCAAAGGTCCCTCCGGCGAAAGGTCACTCTTACGTCAAGTCGAAAGAGGACCCCCGGAGGCCGAACCGTCATGGTGTTCGTCACGACGCGAGGTGGCCCGGGGTTGCTCATCGTTCGAACGCAGCTCGTCGAAGCGTTTAGTCGCCCCCATGGCGCCGAACAGCGCGCCCCATCGCGTGCAAAGCGGGCATGACCCATCTCCCCAGCATGGCCATGGCGCTTTTGGGGCGCTGCCCGCTGTGGGGCACTGTTTTGAAGGCTATTCGGCGCTACTGTTATGTCGGGCCTGTCCCCCTACAGGGGGATTTTCGACGTAAAATGAAAAATACCCCAAACCTAATTTAAACAATAGTCCAAAAATAGTCTGGCGATTATTTTTTGAATTTTTTTTTCTTTTTGGTGTACTTTTGGGGTATTCTTCATCGTTCGTCGAAAATCCCCCTTGTAGGGGGACACGCCCGAATTAACACTACTGGAAGCCCATGGGCGCTGTGTGGTGCCACTGAGCGGTATTTGGCTCTATCCACCGATGTGCATTCCATCCAAGCCGAGCGGCAGCTCCTTTGACTTCACATCTGCGGCCCGGGTTTGCTCCCCGATGCATCGTCGCTGTGCTCGTCGCTCGTGCAGCGACGAGCACCACCGAAAGGATGCGGCGCAGGAGGGAGCCTGCGGCCGACCAGCACGCGCTCCCCGAGCGCGGCGGCGAGCAGCAGCTTGAGTAGCGGCGCCCGGGCTCCGAACAGGGCCTCGAGGTGGGGGGAACGATCCGGGGCTGCGGGTCCGAGGGGGGAGGGTCAGGCGAGAAGGAAAAGGAGCGACCGACCACAGCAGACGCGGACGACACGGCCGCGCCGAAAGCGATGGCGGGACATGACAAGCCTCGAGGGGGGGGACGATCGGGCGGGTGGCCCTCCACTAGAGGCCATCCAGATGGGGTCGGAGTAGATGGTGTAGGAGGATGGGGCCGACTCGTCGATGCATCGGCGATGCATCGGCGATGCATCCGCGTCTTCGGCGATGCTTCGGCGAGTTCGGCATGAAGCACATCGGGCTCCTAACCTCCTCCGCATCGCTGATGCATCGGCGATGCGGCGCGATCCTCCGAATCCGTCTACTCCGACCCAATCTGGGAGGCCCAGATTCAAGGCCTGTGCGGGGGGGAACGAGCCCGAGTTCCTACAGGTCTTCGATGTTCGAGGGGCTCGAGGTCTTCGAGGCTCGAGTCCCACGGGCTTCGGGCATCCGTGTCGAACTCCACTGGTTTTCCAACCATAGGCACGCGCTCCAGCAGCTGCGCCTCGCCGAGGGGCGGTCGAAAACCAGTGAGAGGCCGGTGCCTGGGAAGGGCTCCATGGCTCGATGGGCTCCCATCGACGCCAGAGGTCTGCAGACCTCGGGCGTCAACGGTGTCAAAAGATCACGAGGTAGGGAGTCTGGGCCCGTGCCCACCCCGTCCCGAGAAGGAGCGTTGGAGGGAGAGCTGGTTTCGAGGTTCGAGATTTCCGAACTAATTCGTCAACTCTCGTCGGCTTTCCAACATCGGGATGCCTTCCGTCGGCTGCGCCTCGCCGAGAGCTTTCCAAGAGTGCCCAGATCGCCGCGACCAGCCGCCAGAAGCCCGAGTTTTGGAGTTGAATGCCAAGAAGGGGCTGGCACAAGGGGGGAGGGGGGGCATCGAGCTGGAATAGCATCGAGCTGGAATCGGCGACACGTCGCCGACTTAGCCGCCCCGATACGCATCAACCCAAAGCGAGCCGACACGGCGCTCAACACGCAGACTGGAAACGTGGCTCTGGCGCGATAAGTGCCCTCGCCCAAAACATGTGGGCCTACACGCGCCGAGCCAACACGCAGCATGTCAACACGGAGGCGTTGAACACAGCACGCGTTGCGCTGCAACACGGGCGTATCAGGGCAGCTGAGTCGGGGGGACGTAAGACTCGGGTCAGGGAGACTCGGGCTGGCCCGACCAAGCCATGATGAACATCACGCGACCCGGTCTGAAATTGGACGCGGGCTCCCGCTACAGACGTCCCACGAAAACTGAACCGTCAAAATCCAGGACGGGCTCGTGAAGCTGGACGCGGGCTCCCGCTGCAGACGTCCCACGACAACTGCACCGTCAGAATCCGGGACGGGCTCGTCAAAACTGTAGGCGAACCCGAATTCCAGCGTACTAGAATTTTATCCGTCGTTCATTTTCAATCGTCTGACCGTGCGCATGTCTAATGTTGCTCGTTTCTAATTGGTCCTGGCCCCCGAGTGGCCTGGAAGAGCCCCAGGATCGAGAAAGTAGGAATGACAGGAGCGTGGCCCCCCCAAGAAAAATCAGAGAGAACTTTCGAATCCTTCGAAGCGAAGAAGGTGCACGCTTCCCCGACGGAGGTCGGCGATGGATCGGCGAGGTGCCCCCGAGAGGTCGGCGGCAGCCCCCCCCCCCCCTGTCTTCACTCGACGTCGCCCCCGCGGGCCGAGGGCGGCGGCGGCGGGGCACCACCGCCGTGCGCCCCGGGCTGAACCAGGCGCGCCAGCGCCTCGACGTCGCGGGCGGCCTTGGACGCCACGGGCGCGCCGCCTCTGTCGAGGGGGCGCACAGGGACGTACGAATGCACGCGAGTTACAAAAAATGCGAGCGACAAGTTTTTTACAAAATGGGAGTTTCGCGGGGGAGGGGGGTAGGACACGAATAGACCACGCGCTCGCGGCGACGTCGGGGGGGGGGGGAACGGCGAGGGGGGGGGAGGGGAGGGAAATCAAATCAACATCCAAGGGGGGAGGGGGAGTGCGGAGGGATGCAGGAGCGACACGATTAGAAAAAAAGTTTCCGGCCGAAAATCCAGATCGCGTCCTTCCCCATTGTTGAGCTTGGGGGGGGAGGGGGCCCCCAATTTTTCTAATCGGGAGCCCACATATGTCCTCCGTGGAGGCGCGCGTCCGACCCGAACAGACAGTTTCCAGAGCGGTGTGGCCAGAAAGCGCCCGCCGCGACGCATACACCATAAGATTTCTCGGGGGGCGTGTCGCCCCCTGGGGGGCGATGCACACCTAGTAGTAGCATGCCGGGGTGAGACCTCCTTCGAGCGGGCGCAGCAGAACGCACTCTGGAGGCGTCCGGGGGCTCTGGGCTGGCTGGGCCCCGGGAAACTCAGTCAGGAAGGGGGAGCAATGGCAAATCCGCGCAGCAAGGGTCCCCCCGGACCCTCCACAAGAGTGTCCATCTGGTGCGGGAGTTCACCCGAGATCCGCGCCTGAGGGTCCTGGGGCCGGAAAGCGGCCCCCGGAGGCACCAAAAGACGGCACACTGTCTCGAACCCACAACCTCGAGCCTGGCCCCCCCCCACCCCCACCCCCCTTCCTCGCCATCGCTCGGACGTCCATTCCCTGTGTTTCTGTTCGGTTTCGTGCGTGGCTTTTTCGCCAAATGATCGAGGATGCTCCTCGATGGTCCCCGCCGAAGGAAAAATGCACACGTCCGAGCGATGCCAAGCTTCCTGCTGGCCAGAGCCAGTGCTGGGTCCTCGCGGACCTCCAGCCAGCTTCCAGACACACTGACAATAGGCGCCCCCCCCGGGGGAGGCGCACGCCCGGACCGAGCACGTACGACGGACGGGCATCTTGCCATCTGCGCATCGGTTCCCAGGCGGTACGGTAGAGGGAAACGATTACTGAGCACTCCCCCTCCCCCCAACCTCAACGTTGGCACGCGCGGGGGAAACTGCGACCGAAGTGCAGCTCATCAGACCCACCGCCAGCATTGAACATTGGGGGGAGGGGGAGCCGTTGACAGGTGGATGTGGCATCATGAGTGTTCGCGAATTGTTCCGAGGCCTGTATGGCCAGAGCGCGCTGCTCCGACAATATCTGCTGCAGGGTGGATGGGAGCGCGCGTCGCCCCTGGGAGGGGGCCACGCGCACGCAGCAATCCGATTGAAGCCTGTCTGGGACATGCAGATTCGCAGGCCGAGGAGCCATGGATTTCAGAGGCCCGCTCGGAGTCTCGGGAGGTGGAAGCGGCTCGGGGCCAGACCCCGAGGCACCCTCTCGAGGACCGAGAACAGGGCAATCCGCTGGTCGACTCGGCAGAGTGGGAGCTTTACGCGTCATCGACCTCCGAAACTTCTTGGATCGGCGCTGGAGACTACCTGCCAGACCACCCCAACCCAACCCGAAGACCCGAATTTCGGGTCAGGGGTGGAGCGGGTTCCACATGTGTTTTTCAATGTTCCCCAACGCCCCCCCCCACCAGGAATGCAGAGCAAAAAGTGGGGCCTTCGGGTTGGGTTGGGATGCTTTGGCGGATGGTGACCAGCGGCGCCTCCGGCTCTGCCCCTGGCGCGCTTCGCGCGCGAGGGAGGGGGCAAGAAAGCAGAACGGACACAGGTTGATGACCGAATTTGTCTCGTCGCCAATCTCGAGCCCACGACGCTGTCGAAAGCCGGTCCAGGGTGGACAGCTGGCCGAAATTGGCCAGGACAGGGGATCCGGGGGCCCATGCTAACCAGATGTTGGTCGGCAGGAGGGGGATGGAGGACTGCCCACACTGATGTCCTTCCCTCGGTTTCGCCTTTCTGGAACTACGTGGGAAGCCCTCGTTGCCTTCGCCTCGGAATCCTGGTCAGAGCACGCCCTAGAAGAGGTCCAGTGAGCAGCGGTACCAGCACAGTAGGCACATCCGAGAAGACACCTTGATATAAGAAGTCTTCTGGCACATTCGTCGTCGATCTTTGAGGGCCCAGGATGCCCCACAGAGCTTCTGAGGGTCCCTGCGGCCCCTGGGGGAAAAACGAATTTCGTGGGGCACCCGCTGGCAGGCCGATCTTACTGCATCTTGCTGTTCCCGCACCGCCCGGCATCGGGATGCGCAGCAACCTCTTGGAGAGGTCCGCCACCCGCGCGATCAGCTGCTGCATCCGGAAAGGGACGATCGCGGCCTCCCGTGCAAGGCGCGCGCAGCTGTGGCCCCACCCGCGAGTCCGGCCTTCTGTCGCGTTGCCCGAAGGGACGCTGGCGAAAAGGAGCTTCTGAGACCGCGGCGCTGCATCTGAGACATCGAAGCGCACGTGAACGCATCCTGCGACGACCCTGTGGGCAAAGCCCACCGGACTTGAGAAATCGGTATCGCCCGTCTCAGAAGTTTCTTTCCCAGGGGTCCGTCTTGGAACCTCGTGACCTTCGTCCGAGCCGGCGTCGGCGCCGGCGCAGGCGTAGTTGCCGGCCCAGTGGTAGAACAGGCGAAGGACCGCGAGAGGCTCGGAGGCGTGGCCCCCGTCGAAACGGCGGCGGGACTCCAGGGAGCGCCGGAGCTTCTTGACATACTCCGCGTCGTCCGTGATGGCCATCCTCAGACTCATTCTCCGTGCATGTTTCGGTGTCGTGCGTTGATGTTTTCGTAGCAGGGTCTACTCTACTCCTCGACATCCCTCGCCGAGAAAAGATGCACACGTCCGAGCGATGCCAAGCAGAGGAACAAAACAGGCTGCACAAGCATGCTCCGTCGGAGCTCCGCGCGGATGCGGTGCACAGGCGACGACGGCGCGGAGAAACTCGGATTCCACATCGAGCCGCATCGCAGATGCATCGGCGAAGCGGCGCGATCCTCCGACCTCATTTGCTCCGACCCCATCGGCGAGGCTCATTCTTCCACGAATCTAGGGGAAACCAAACGGTACCGATACCGATACTCCCTGGACCTCTCCCGGGGTGCGTTCTGAGCAGAATTTCGAGGCGAATCCAACGGTGGCGACGAGGGCCTCCCAGGACGCCCACGACAAGGGGGAAAAGCGAGGGCAGGGTCGCGGCATGGGGTACCTCTTCCTCCTTCGAAGCCTCACTCTCCCTCGAATCCTGGAGGGGCGGCTGAACGGGTCCATCGAGGAGCACGCCGCGGCCAGCACCACCGCCTCCGCCGCGCAGCCCCACAGGGCGCCGAGCCAGAGAAGCCGGCAGAGGCCCATGTCGAGCGGGAGGCTCTCCGCGAGGAGGCCCAGCGTGGTGATGTCCGCGGCCTCGTCCTCGGCGGCCAGCGCCCCGGCAAGGTGCAGCTCGCGGACTGCGGCGCGGAGGGCGCCGGCATCCGGCGGCTGAGGCAGGTACCCATCGGGGGGGCCAGAAGCCCGACGAAACGCAATTCGCAGAAGACGCTGCAACGCAAGACGAAGCCAGGACGTGGAGAACATCGGGTGAGGATACGCCGAGGCTCTGAGACCCACCAGCTCTGGAGGATGTCTCGGGCTCCGCGGCCTTCTCAGAGCGCCCCGGAGCACTCTGAGAGCGATCCAGACCGTTCTGGCTCTGGAACGGATTTATCCTCGTCCTGGCCCCGTCCGACAGAAGCACGACGACCAAATTCGTAGAATTCCTCGTCACGGCGAGGGGTGTGCGTACACTTGAGCGACGAAAAGAAGCGGGTCTTACGCAAGATGACGTTGCGATCTTAATTACGCGGCGACTTACGCGGGCTCTCATCGTGACACGCTATCGTGGCACGCCGCAATGGAAACGAGGGCGCTTACGCGCGGCCTTCCGGGCAACTTACGCGCCAATGTCGGCGTCGACGACCCAGTTTTTCACATCGCTCACTTGTCACTGTTGACGTGTGGGCCCAGAGCGCGAAGGCGACGGGGCAAGACTTGAATTAGCTGAACTCTCGAGGGCTGCCGCGTTGAAAACATCGTTTCGTTGAACCGAGGCAAGGACATAAACATCGACTGCCAGAACTCCGCGCGGATTTCTCGGATCGGCGCTTGGGCCCCATGGCAGCGCCCCTTGTGCCGTCCCTGGCGCGCTCCGCGCGCCAAAGATGGGAGCCTGGCGCCGATTCAAGGAATCCGCGCGGACCTCCGACAGCTTTTCTTCCTCGAGTACCCCAGCAGCTCGCAGGGCGACTTGAGGCTCACGGGCAGGCTCTCTGGCACGTCTCGGCCCAGCTTCCTCTGTAGCACGTCGGAGAGTTTCTTGGCGCGCAGCAGCACCTTGGAGAGGGACACCCTGAGAATCTCCGGCGTGTCAAACTCTGGCGTGCGCTCCTCGTAGAAGCGGCTCGACACCATGCGCAAAGCCGTCCCGGGCTGAGTCCTGCCGGCACGCCCGGAGCGCTGCTTCATCGACGCCTGAGAGCACCACGTGGTCGCCAGACGGCTCAGGTTCTCCTTGGCGTCGTGCGAGATCTCCCTGTGCAGGCAAAAATCTATCACGGCGGTGACGTTCGGAAAAGTGAGGGACGACTCCGCGATGTTCGTCGCCAGGATGACGTTGCACTGGCCGTTGGCAGGCGGCTCGAATGCCGCGTCCTGCTCCGAGCGGGGCACCATGGAGTGCATCACGAAAACTTTGTAGCTGGACTGGTAAGGCTTCGGGCTGCGCGAGGACAGCACCCCCCCCACTGGCTGCAACGGGCCCCCCGAAGAGTCCCAGTTGGCCTCCACAGGCCCCCCCGAATAGCCCAGGGAGGTCTCAACACCCTGGCGCTCCGCGCCCCAGGGTTGAGGTGATGAGACCGCCGCGGGCTACTCGGGGGGGCCTGACCAGGCCAGCCGGGACTACTCCAGGGGCCTGTCCCAGTCCCCAGACGTCGTCATGCTCTCTTCATGACGTGGGCCCCCAGAGGTCTGGACCCCCTCCTGGGGGCACGGTTTTCACCCCGAGTCGCATTTTGACTCCCAGAGGCCCAGCAGCGCGCCTCTATAGCGGCCGAAGACAACGCGAAGCCTCTCGGCGTGACTCTTTCGTGGCCCGAGGGCACCTGGGGCGGAGGCCCGCTGGGGCCACTACCGGGGGGAGGGGGGGGGTGCTGCGCGCCACCCGAAGCCTCACCAAAGCTGGATGGCGCGCTGCTGCCGCCTCCGCCCGGGTCGGGGGCCCGGGCTTCCAGCGAGGAGAACAGGTCGGCCATGTCCTTCGGCTGCACGCAGGAGCTCGAGCAGGGGGTCGACTACGACAGTGACTTGCCCGAAAATGTTGGTGTTCTCGTCGGACCCATGAGAAAAACACGTAGGATGATCCGTCGATCTATGGAGCCCTGTGGGTAGGCACTCGGTTTGGGCCTTTCTCGTTTAAAGGTATGTTTCGCTCAGTGCGCGTGGTTTATGCTCGGGCATCCTCCAAGATCGGGGGGGGGGGGAGGTTCTCTTTCGTGGTTTAAGCGTCGGGTGCGCCTCGTGTGCTGTGGTTTAAGCGTCGGTGCGCCTCGTGTGCTGCGATGTGCCTCGTGTAGACAGGGCCCAAGCCTGTTGTGGTTACGCGTTCGCGCCAGTCGACGCCTATGACTTTATATATATATATATATATATATATATATAAAACCTGGTTGGCAGTGGTCATCCTCTGTCTCCTTATGGTCCTTCGCCTAGCGTTCAGTATCATCAGTGTTCCCCCCAGCGGTCTGCCTTCTCCTGCTCCTACTGTTCCTCCTGCTCCTCCTCCCCTTTCACCCTTTTCGTCTCCCTTCCCTCACTCATTCTCAACTCCGCGCAGCCGCCGACGGCCGTCCACAGATCCGCCGTCGGGCCAGCGTCGCCCTACCCCAGGGCCTGGCCCCAGTGAAAAGTCGTGGAGTTCCTCCTCCTCCTCCTCCTGGTCTTCCTCCTCCTCCTCCTCCTCCTTCTGTTCCTCCTATTCCTCATCCTGGTCTTCCTCCTGCCTCCTTGCTCCTCCTCCTCCTACCCCTCCTCCTGCCACCTCCTCCTGCTGCTGCTGCTGCTCCTCCTCTTCCTACTGATCTGCATGCCTTCTCCTCATACCCCTTTCCTGCCTCATCCTCCGATCTTCTGCCTCGTCCTCCTACTCTTCCTCCTGCCTCTTCCTTTATACTAGTGTTCTCTGCCGTCAGCGTCATCGTCAACAACGTCGGATGCATCGTTCTTACATCGTCGCATCACCATTGAAGTAATAACCGCCGCCGTCGCCGTCGCCATGTGAATCAGCATCGCCATGGCGATCATCGTCACCGAAGGCATCATCAGCACAAACGCCGTCGTCTTCATCATCATAAGCGTCTCCACCGTCATCCCATGACATGTCATCCCTCCTCCTCCTCCTCCGCCTTCTACTCCTCCTCATTCTACTCATCCTCCTCCCCCTCCTCCTTATCGAGCCTGGCCCTCTCGGGCCCTCACGCCGAGTGGAAACTCTCCAGGCCCGCCTTCCTGTCTGAATACATCGCGGCCTTCTGGGCAGCGAGGTTATTGATGTTGAGGCTCTTGATGGCCTCGACCACGCTGGGGTCGCAGGCCTGTTTAACAGCGGGGTCTCTATCTCCCTTCACCCCCATCCATGAGGATGAGAGCACGGGAAGACATGGAGAAAGAGAGAGAGAGAGAGACAGAAAAATAAAGAAAGAAAGCAAGCGATAGAGAAACCCGAAGGTGGAGGAGAGGTCGGAGATGATGTTGGGGGGGTGCATGGGAGGAGCCTTATCCTCCTCCTCCTCATCCTCCTCCTCCTCCTCCTCCTCCTCCTCTCTCTCCTCCTCCCTCATCCTCCTGTCCTCCTCCTTGCGAGCCTTCGCCGCCGCGGGGTGCGTGACCGGCAGCGCCGCACAGTGGCCCAGGTCGGGCCCGTTGCCTTTGGCGCGCTCCTGAGGGAAGTACAGCGGCTGGCACAGGACACCGTACGGCATGAACACCATGTCCGTGGGGCCAGCCTTGATGAACACACTATCTTGAATCACTCTAAAGCCCTCGCCGTCGCCCTCGACGAACTTCATGAAATCCTGAATTGCAATCCCGTTGCTGACGGTGTTCTTCGTCGGGTGCAGCAGGGAGAACATATCCTCGCTCAACGGCTTGACCACCGACGCGTATCCCACAAGGGGAAGCGCTGCTGGGCCGTGGCGCAACGCGTCCGCGCGGCACGTGCACGGCCACAGAGCGAACGCTCCCAGCCCCATGTTCTGAATCTCGCCGCCGCCGTTGAGCACCTCAAACTTGAACTCTGGCAGGTCCGCGCCAACGCGGCCGAGGCGCCCGAGCCACTTCTCGCCGCGCTCCTTGAAGGCCTCATGGTGCACTTTGACCTTCTGTTCCACGAGGTTGCCGAGCGCCGCCATGTAGTCGACCATCTCCCTGCTGACCTCATGATCTGGAGACGTCCACATGGCGATGCCATCGCGCGTGAAGGGCACGTTGACGTCGGCCTTCACCTGGAATGGGATCGGCCTCTTCTTCTTGCCAGTCTTGCCGCTCGTATCATTCACGATGCAGTCTCTCTCGGCGCCACCTCGCGATGCGTACAGCAGATTAGAAAGATGATCACTGTAGACCTTGCAGTACGATCCCTTCACGAGCCTCTTCGACAACTGATGCCTCTTGTTGTAGTGAGTCACGTAGGCGACCGAGCTCTGGTGAGTAGCTTTCGCTGTGACGAACCCCAGCCCCGTGATCTGCGACTGCCCTATCTTTTGTCTTCCCGTCGAGCTCGCTCATCTTCGCGTCAAGGTCTATGACGATCTCTTTGAACGAGTTCTTTGAGCACACACTTTCAAGCTTGGCGGACACAGCAAGCAAGTCGTCGGCCAAAGTAGTTAGTTGGCTGATGAGCTGGGAAGCCGGCATCATCAAGTCCGGCTCCTGATAAGGCTCCACGCCAACACTCGCGGTCCTGAGCTGCTTGATGAAGCCCGACGTCGGCTCCTTGAACGCCTTGGAGACGTGCTCGGCCATCAACTTCCATGACTGTTTCAACTGCATGAAGTCCAGCGGGGTCATCTCGTCGACCTCTGGACCCGATGGCACGCTGCGCTCCCGAGTCTGATCATCGATGTCCATGGCCGCCTTCAAGGCGAACTTCTGCTTCTTGGAGGGCCTCTTGGAAATGGTGCTGCCATCCCCTTTCTCGGAAGCTGCAGCGGAGCGTGCAGGCGAGCCCTGCCATGGAGTCGCTGCGCCTGAAGCGGGACCTGACATCGCCCTCGGGAACCCCTCAACCTGTGGTCTGTCGAGCTTGTCGATGGGCAGTGCGAAGGCCGAGGGTGCCGCCGGCGACGCAGACGACGAAGGCGGCCTCGCTGGACTCGCAGAGGAGGGTACCACCAGCGTGTCTGCAGAGGCCACCGCCGTTTTTATGGCTAACTTCCTCCTCTTCTTGGTGTAGACGTCCTCGCCGCCCTCCTCTGCGGTCGTATGTGTGACTCGCTCTGTTTCGGACGTTCCTCGGCTTTCACGGTGCCTCTCGATATCTTTGACGGCCACTCCCTGGTTCAAGACTGTGCCATTCTCGTCCACGACGTCTTCCTTGCCCTTCTGCTCTGCATGCAATCTCGCGAACTCCGTGGCGGACTCGGCGACGCTCCTGCGGTGCCAGAAACCCTCGAATGCCTGGAACTCGACTAACGTCAATCTGATCGTGTCGGCGAGCTCCTTGGAGCCCTTCTTCGCCTCGAAGGTCTTGCAAGATTCGATCGTGTCCTTGGCCTGCTTGCGTGCCTGACCTCGGGATTGCGAGTCTGGCTCCACCCACGATTGCATGCGCTTCCTCCAGCTCGGGAAATCAGAACGAAATTATTCCCCCCATCTGTTCGGCAACTGCTTTCGGAGCACTCTGGATGAAGCGGTTGTGAGCACGCATGCCGCCGTTACATGTCGCATGTAGTCGAAGGTTGCGCCACTTGTATGGCAGCTTCGCAGAAGTGGCTTTCTTCTCACAGATGCCGCGCTCGATCAGATCATCATCACACATGATAAGACCCCCAGCTTCAACATCATACCCACTCATGCCTGCGACCCAGGCAGTCGCACAGTGTCTGCGCACTGCGAAGAAAGAAAATCTCTTTCACCCCGAGGTGGCCCCAAGAAGCCTGGAGCCCAAATGGCTAGCGGTGGAGGTGGCGGGGGATGCGGGCAGCGGGGCCATATGGGGTGGGGAGGGGCTTTTTTTCATTGTTATGTGGGGTGTCGGGGGGAGGGGAGAGTCGGCGCCTTTCCTTTTGAAGGTTTTGGAGTTTGGGTTGCTTTGGGTAGCTCGGGGGTTGGGCGTGTAACGCGTGCCCTCCCCCTCCACTTCCCTCCTCCCCTTCCTCCTTCACCCACCCGTCCTTTGTCCGTGGTTCGGTCTTCTCTCTCGATCCTGGTTTAGGGTTTCCTGGTGTAAAGGTGGTTCTAAGCAAAACACGGGGGGGGGGGGGCGCTCATTTCTGGAATTGCAGGGGGTCATTCGTGAAGAAGCACACCGCGAGCAGACGGATGGGCCGTAATTTAGCGAGGCCGAGTTCCGAATTCTACAGACTACCCCGCCACCCTGAAGTCTACCGACTACCCCTTCCAAGTACCATCAGCGGCGCTGCTGACTTGGGGGCCCCGAACTCCTTGGAAATCAAAGCCACGAGCGTTCCTGGAATCCTTGGGCCCCCTGGATTTTTCGAATCCCTGGAACTCCCTCGGAAACCATGGATCCCGCGAATCTCTGGAGTCCGAGGCCCCCAAGTCCTAGAAGACAACGCTTCGAAACCTTTTAAATCCATGGATGCCCCGTGAGCTCCTCGGAAGTCAGAGCCAGGAAACCATTGGAATGCAGAGCCCCGAAACCCTGGAATCGCGAAGCCCTGGTACCCCTGGAACCAAAAGGCCTGGAATCCAAGGCCCTCGAAGGTGATGAGTGACGAATGACGAATACAACGGTGGCAACGATGGCGGCTGCGAGCGCGGCGACGATTGCGATGACAAGCGCAGTGCAAGCGCGCGATTTGCAATGCTTTGTGCTGTTGTTCGTCACGGTGGTAGCCCCGATAACGGTGGTGACGATGATGGCGATTGTGGCACACTTCGCCCCAGGCGCACAGAAGCCGCCAATCGGGAACATCCGATCCACAAGCAAGCTACACTGCATGGACTGGTCTTCACAGCGGCCACTAACTGTGACTGTCCACCAGCTCGCTCCTGGGGCACCCCAGAGCGATTCATC